ATGGTCACAAACTACTTCAAGATCGTTTCAGGCTGGACATAAGGAAGAACTTCTTTACTGTCCGAGCCCCCAAGGTCTGGAACAGCCTGCCACTGGAGGTGGTTCAAGCACCTTCATTGAACACCTTCAAGATGAAACTGGATGCTTATCTTGCTGGAATCCTATGACCCCAGCTGACTTCCTGCCCTTTGGGCGGGGGGCTGGACTCGATGATCTTCCAAGGTCCCTTCCAGCCCTGATGTCTATGAAATCTATGAAATCTAAGAATCTGATCATCAATAGAAAACATGGTAAGTGTTCTGGTGGAAGAATTCTTTATGCTCAAAATCACATATACCAAAACATTTTGCAGCTTCTGTGATGGAGTCAAATCAATGTTTCCAGTCTACTGAAAACAGAATTTTAAATGCGACACATTTAACAAAACCATGAAGAGCCTGTTTGGATCCAAGAGTTTTTGTTAAAACTGCAAGCATCCTGGGCTCCCCGCCACTGAACCATTCATCATCCCCATATGTACTGGGGAGATTTTGATTTTCCTTAGTTCTGACAGAGACACTGAAGCACTGGGAAATTACTGCAGAACTCCAGTGGTTCTTCTGACAATCAGTCTCTATAGCAGGGGTCGGCAACCCCCGACACGCATGCTATTAGTGGCATGCAGAGACATTTTTCCCGGCACGCCGGGAGGCATGCAAATAAATTGGGGGGGGATGTTAATTGCTGCTCCCGGCTCTCGTGTGCAGCCACAAGTCCCAGCGCTGCGGCAGGCACCAGGGTGGAGCCAGAACAACACAGGCAGGGATGCTGTCTGTGCTCTACTGCCCCCACCCCTTGCTCCCAGGCTGCACCCTCCAGCCTGGCTGGCCCTTGAAGGGAGCTGCCCAGGCAGGCAGGTGCCCTGTCCCACCCAGGGCAGCACTGAGGTGCCAGGTGCTGGGGCTGAGAGGTCGGGACAGGGTCTGGGCAGCATGGGGGGAGGCGCCGCAGGCAAGCCAGCCCCGTTGGGCTCTTAGGAAGGTGGGGGCTGGGCAGGAAGTGGGGGCTGCCCTGAGGCTCTGCAGGCTCGAGCTGTGGTGGGCGGGCAGGTGGGGTGCTCAGTGGCACCCATGGTGGGGCCTGGGCAGCCTGCGCAGCTCCGCAGAGATGGGCCGCAGCCACCCTGCACACGCGGGGATGCTGCCTGTCTGGGGCAGGATGCCAGGCTCAGGGGGCTTCCCTCTCCAGGATAGGCCTCCCTGAACGCTGAGCACAGTGCAGGCAGGGCAGAGCCATCCCCGGTGGAGAGGCCTGGCCACGGGACACACCTGGAGCCTGGGTATAGCCACTGCAGCTGCCTCAGCCTGCCCGGGGCCTGGCCTTGCCCACCCGCAG